TGGACTTTCCACGGTTTGGCGGGGGTAAGATCAAGGAGTGGCTATTCAAAGCGGAGCAGTTCTTCATGATCGATCAAACACCGGAGGAGTTAAAAGCGGGCATCGCCTCCATCCACTTACGACGTCGCTGCTACTTGGCATCAATGCGTTATTCAATCGGATCTCGGTGAGAATATCCTTTATGATTGGGGGACATATAAGATGCTGCTACAAGAGAGATTCGATGAGTTGCTCGATGATCCTATCCCTGAGCTCAAGCAGTTACAGGAGACTAATAGAATCGTCGAATACCATGGCCGTTTTGAGTTGATAAAAACACGGGTGACGCTTTCCAAGGAATATTTAGTCAGTGCTTACCTTGCTGGGTTGCGTTTGGATACTCAGATGCACGTGAGAATGTTTCAACCTCATACTATTCGTCAGTGCTTGATGTTGGGTCGACTGTATGAGAGAGCTCACCCACAGAAAGGTGTCTCTACGGCGTGGTCAACTCCAAAACAACATCTCAGTGAGAAGGGTCTCCTCCAATACAAGAATTTGCCACCTCCAAAACTTCTTGGTGGGCAGCAACAAACGGCGGGTACACAATATCAACTCACTGCAGTGGAGATGGCAGAGCGACGTGCAAAGGGTCTCTGTTACTTCTGTGATGAGAAATACACTCCTGGCCACTACCTTAAGCACAAGAGGGCACAGCTATTTCTTCTTGATACTGAGGAAGATGACTCTACCTCTGAAGTTGTGAAAGAAGAACCGATACCCGCAGAGCCCGATGACACAGAAGAAGCTCATATCTCTCTTCACGCAATGGCTGAAATCTCTAGCCATAACACTATGAGGGTAAAAGGAATGTATGGTAAGAATCCACTCTTTATCCTCATCGATTCGGGCTCCACCCATAACTTCGTAGACACCAAGGTTGCCGAACAATTGGGATGCCCTCTCCAACCTGCAGGGTTGGCTCGGGTAAAGGTAGCTGGTGGGCAAAAGCTGGGGGTGAATGCAAGAATTCGAGGCTTTAAATGGTGCTTTAGGGAGGTTCAATTCCAGTCGGACATCATGGTTATTCCTTTGGGTGGTTGCGATATGATTCTTGGGGTTCAATGGCTGAAACTTTTAGGCCCTATCACTTGGGACTTCAAGAATCTAACAATGCAGTTTAAGTGGGAGAATCAAACTGTCTTGTTACATGGCATCAAACCCGAGTCAGTGAGGGCTATCAAGTCAACTAAGTTACAAAAATTGGTTAAGGAGGACAACGTACAACTTTCGATGATTTGTGTTCACCAAGAAGATGCGGAAGACACAATCCGGTTGAACTCCCTCGTGGTTGACAACACTTCCTCTCCTACACCATTAGCTATAAACCGGTTGCTCGACGAGTTTCAGGATGTTTTTGCTTCTCCGGTCAACCTTCCCCCTTTCTGTGAGCACCACAACCACAAGATTCCCCTCCTGGAAGGCGCTAATCCGATAAATCAACGGCCTTATCGATACGCCCTGCACAAGAAGAATGAAATTGATAAGATGGTGCAGGAACTCCTACGTGATGGCACTATCCAAAGTAGCTCCAACTCCTATGCCTCACCAGTGGTGCTTGTGAAGAAAAAAGATGGGACATGTAGACTTTGCGTGGATTATAGGGGACTCAATAACTTAATGGTGAAAGATAGGTTTCCCATTCCACTCATTGAAGATCTCATGGATGAGTTAGGAAGGTCTACGGTCTATTCTAAGATTGATTTACGCGCGGGCTATCACCAAGTTCGCATGGATCCATCTGACATTCATAAGACCGCTTTCAAGACGCATTACGAGTACATTGTCATGTATTTTGGGCTTACGGATGCTCCTGTCACCTTTCAAGGCCTGATGAATACTGTGTTTCAATCCCTGCTACGCAAGAGTGTCCTTATCTTCTTTGATGACATTTTGGTGTACAGCTCCACCCTAGAATTACAGGTTATTCATCTGCGTCAGGTCTTTCTCTTGATGCGTCAACACATGTTATTTGCTAAACAAAGCAAATGTGCCTTAACCACGGATCGAGTGGAGTATTTGGGTCATTACATTCAGGCTCAAGGGATTTTCACTGACCCAGACAAAGTCAGAGCAGTGCAGGAGTGGCCAACACCCACGAATCTCAAACAACTACGGGGTTTCTTGGGACTTGCTGGCTACTACCGACGTTTTATCCGCAACTTTGGTATGATTGCTCATCCGTTGACTGACCTCACTAAGAAAGACGCTTTAAGATGGTCAACAGAAGCAAGTGTTGCCTTTGAAACTCTGAAACAAGCCTTGTGCGAAGCTCCGGTGTTACCATTACCCCTCTTTGATAAACCCTTCATGGTGGAAACTGATGCGTGTGGTCATGGTATTGGTGCCGTCTTGATGCAAGAAAGTCATCCTCTTGCTTACATTAGTCAGCATCTCAAAGGTAAACAGCTCCACCTTTCTATTTACGAGAAAGAACTACTGGCGGTTGTGTTTGCTGTGCAGAAGTGGCGACACTATTTGTTGACGGGGCACTTTATCATCAAGACTGATCAGCGTAGTCTCAAGTACTTGTTGGAGCAAAGGCTTAACACACCTATTCAACAGCAGTGGATACCGAAGTTGTTAGAGTTTGATTACAAGATTCAATATCGACAAGGCAAAGAAAACTTGGTTGTTGATGCTCTGTCTCGCGTGGAAGGCTCTCAAGTGTTCCATATGGTGATGTCGGTGCTACAACGAATACAAGCTGCTTATGAGCACGACGCAGAGATTAAAGAGCTCATTGCTGAGCTAAAGCAGAAACCCCTTGCTCGGAAGCATTTCTCCTGGTCCCAAGACATCTTGAGGAGGAAGAGCAAAATCGTTGTACAGCAGGATCGTGTGCTACGCGATACGATCTTAGAGTGGCTTCATGGCTCGAGTATTGGGGGCCATTCAGGGCGTGACATAACACATCAACGAGTCAAAGGTCTCTTTTATTGGAAGGGTATGGCAAAGGATATTCAAGCTTACATCCGCAGCTGCAGCGTTTGCCAACAGTGCAAGTACGACACCTCTGCTTTCCCGGGGTTACTCCAACCTCTCCCAATTCCCGAGACAATATGGACTGACATCTCCATGGATTTCATTGATGGATTGCCGAAGTCTTTTGGCAAATCAGTTATTCTGGTAGTTGTGGATTGCCTCACCAAAGCAGCACACTTTATTGCCCTCTCTCACCCGTACTCTGCTGTTTCCGTTGCACAAACCTTCTTGGACAATGTCTACAAGCTTCATGGACTTCTTTAATCCATTGTAAGTGACAGAGATGCGATTTTTCTCAGTGAGTTCTGATGGGAGCTGTTTAGTCTGCAGGGTGTTGCCTTAAATATGTCTACTGCCTATCACCCTCAAAGCGATGGCCAAACCGAAGTGGTCAATAGGTGCTTGGAAACATACTTGAGGTGTATGTGCAGTGACAGACCCGAGTTGTGGAGCAAGTGGTTACCTTTAGCTGAGTATTGGTATAACACCAACTACCATTCCGCCACTCAGATGACCCCTTTTGAAGCTGTCTATGGTCAATCCCCTCCACAACATTTGCCTTATCTTCCGGGTGAGTCTCGAGTTGCTGTTGTTGCCCAGTGTTTACAGGACAGAGAAGCTATGATTCTCCTCTTGAAGTTTCACTTCCTTCGAGCTCAACACCGAATGCAACAGTTTGCAGATCAACATCGCACGGATAGAAACTTCAACATTGGTGACTACGTCTATGTGAAGCTCCAACCGTATCGTCAGAAATCTGTGGTAATGCGCAACAACCAGAAACTCGCTCCCAAATACTTTGGCCCTTACAAGATCATTGATAAATGTGGTCCGGTGGCGTACAAGTTAGCTCTGCCAACATCTTCACAAATCCATCCGGTCTTCCATGTTTCCCAGTTAAAACTGCAGGTCGGGGGATTTAATGTCTCTACTCAATTGCCTTCGGTCGTGCAAGATGTCTTGGTGAAAGAACCAAGAACCAGAGCTGATTTTAGAAAGGAAGATGGTGCAGCGACAAGGTCGTGCTGCTATGATGGTGTTGGTCAAATGGGCAACTCAACCTGCAGAAGAGGCGACGTGGGAGTTCTTGTTCGATGTGCAGCAGAAATGGCCCCTTTTCAAACCTTGAGGTCAAGGTTCTCTTAGCGCAGGAGGATTTGTTACAGGTTTTGAACTTAGTTTTGAACTTGGGTTTTATTTGGGTTTTATTTTACAATAGTTAATTGGGCTTTGGATTGTCAAACAATTTTCATTTTTTAATCAGAAAATTATTCAGAAAACATTCCTTCTCTCTCACTCTTCTTTCGTGACGAAACATTTTCCGACGCAGAAGTTTCCCTTCTTCCTCTGTGGATTCTCGGCAGGTAAACACCACTCATGTTTCTCGGAACATCGGTTTGGATTGATTCGATTATTAGTGTTGATCGGCTTTTCCCTTATCAGCTTGGTGGCAACGCGTCCCTTCCCTTAATTGTTTTGAAGCAACCAAAATCGGCTTTTGGTCATAACTCAGTAATCCTTAAGAAAACTTATTCTGCGTCTGTTATGTTTTGTAATGGTAAAAGGCATAAGGCACCTGTCAACTCGTGGTTTGTTAACCGTTAAAATGACTTTTAGGTTTGTCTATGATCAAACTTTAGGTTGGACTTGGATCTTGGATGATGTTAGCAGATTCTAAACTCTTGGAAGTTAACAGTGATTGTGATTTTGCAGTAGCTATTTGGTATTATTACTTATTGAGAATAAACATTGTAGCAAAGAAGTGAAGAAAAAAGTAAAATACAAAACGTAAATGCAGGAACAGCTTCTATAGTAACGGAAAACTACAATTTCATACACTTTAAAACTTTCTGGAATGATGTTATATTGCCAACAACAGGAACAAACCGTCATAGAAACAAAACACGAGGAACAAAAACAAAATCATGTCTGTCATGCACGCCTTGTTTTATATGTACCTTTCTGTTACAAACCCATCATGCTTCAGTAGATTTTGGCTCGTTCTCAGTCGGTTCATGATGCTCCTCCTCTATCGGCTGCATCTCTGTTTTCTTCTTCTCTTTCTGTATCACTTGCCGTGGCATTACCTCTAGTAAAAAGCTCCCTCCGTTCCACACCGCCGCCGAGATCTTTAAGATCTGAAAGATCACGTGAAGTCTATACGATAGGAAGATCGGTACGGTCAATGCCATTGTTGCCACCGTGAAGATTGCCTGGTAGAGAATGTACATCCACATACGGTTCTGATCCCCTAGCAGACCGCTTAGCTGCCACAACTTATTGTTTGCCTTTTGAGCTTTTTTCGACAGCTCTCTGCACAGACCAGAAGATTTCATCAGATCATGTTCAGTCTACGGTAAGAACAAATTACATTGTTTTGTTTCACAATTAAATGCAGTGTGATACATCACGCTTGACTGGTATATCGACTGATTAGCATAATATCAATATAGCTATCAACAGAACGAACAAACTCAAAACGTCACAAAGTTTATATTTACAAGATAAAAAACTTTTTGTCTAAACTAATAACAAATTTAAAAATTGTGGGATGGATTGGAAAATATCTTGTTGAAAACGGGAAAAACGTGAAAACCCTGCATACTATTCAAGCCCATCGTACCATTTGTCAACACTAAAACAATCTGATTCAACATAACCTACTGAATGTTGAAATAGTGGAATGAATCTGTATACGTTTGTGGAATTGAGTTTTAGATTTAAGCAGATTGTGATTTTTCTCATTTCCACGATTCCGTGATTCCGGTATGTTACAAATTAAAACCAGAGAGCAATATTTCTAAAGGCAAAACTATCAACTAGACGAGGAGCTACTAGACTTATGGACCTGTCCTTTTGTGAGTAAACTGATCATGCACTAAGCTATGAGTAGAACATTAACATACAACGTAGACCAGCCCACACTAAACGGTAAAAGTACAAGAGATAGATGCAACAGAGGACGATACCTGTAAGAAGTCATAACTTCAGGATCTCTTAAGAGTCTCTGCCTACGCAGGACATTAACGATTAGAAAATAGAGAACTTGCCAAAGAGTATAAACCACCAATGGGATGAGAAACAGCCATGTGAAAAGGTAAGCTTTGTCTTCCACGTAAGGCCATGACACTCTACGATCAGTACCTACAGGGTGCATAGCTGCAAACGTCGCCGGATTCCACCACCTAATCGTGAAGAACACAAGCCCTGAAAACCAAAGCCATTGCAAAAGTCAAGAATCCAGGAAAGAGAGAGCAAAATCTTAAATAAAAAGATTCCATAACTCACCAGGTAAGAGATGTATAAGAACACTAACAATCTTATCGAGCGAACTAAAAACCAGGCTGCATCGCCAAACGATAATAGCCCATGCCAATGGTCCCTGTAGACACAGCCAATAGATAAATCAGCTAAACAAGCACAAACAAAGACTCATATACACGTGTCAATGTCGTTACAGAAGCATACCTCTGCGAAGGAAAAGCAAACCATGAAAAGCTTTTCATTTCTAGGATACAAAAGAAGATCAACCAAGAAGATTGTGTTGGCATAGTAGCAAAAGTCCTATCACAAGGACAATTGTTTTTAAGACGAATTTAAAGCTGTATGTTGATTCCAAAACCACAAAACACAAAAGGGTGTAAGAGACGTTACCAGAAGATAATAATGCCATTTCTTGAACCGGTAATATATCCATCGGAGAGGAACAAAGATCACGTAAAAGAGGCAGTAGACGAGAGGAATGTCTTGAGGCCCTGAGAACAATAAATCAACATATTTACAGCTTTCGTTTTAATCAGAGATCTCTGTATTGACCTATATCACATTTTTTTACTCACTCGCTCCAAGTAGGAAACAAAACCCTCCAAATCCGAGCACCCCAACAAGATGGGTCACCTTTAAAACATGAAAACAAACATTTTCCAACAAAAGGGCAGAAAAATCAACAAATGCAAACCAGGAAAAAATAACATTATAGCTTGAGTAATAAATGCTCCACTAGATTTCATCTGTAGCAGGGTGGCCAAAACTCAAATTACTTTCCAATATTTTTTACCACTTAACATTCATCAAGGTTCCACATTTCCTACTGTTAAAAATATAACTATAAAAAACGAAACGTCACTAATCTATTCAATCTATGTGTCTAACGTTATTGGATCATTCAAGTATTCCCCATTCCATCCATGTCTAGACAAGTTTCAAGTGAATTTACCCAAAAGGAAAAGTAAGAGGAGACTATTGATAGTATTAATAAGAAAATTATGAGAGAGAAACAAGAAGAAGATGCCTTATTGATGAATCTCTCGTGTTCTTCGGCTTGTTTAGCGATCTTAACGGCCTGCTTCGACAAGATCTCCCGGGTCTGCACGGCTTGTTTAGACAACAACTCTCTCGTCTGAACAACTTTCTGTGATTAAAACCAAAAATGAAAATTCTATCGAAAATTGTCCCAAACTCAAATGATGAAATCAAATCTCATGTGGCGAGAAGACGGTACCTTTGATCGATCCTTGAAACGTTGTTTAACAGCGTCAAACGTATCTCCTCCTCTATTAAAGTTTAAATCTTCCGAGAGTTCTTCGTTATTCGCCATTATTGTGGTGTAGAAAAGTCAGATTTCAGAGAAGCTGGTCCGAAGAGAAACCGAAAACACTGCCTTTTTTTTTTGTTTACTTCAACCGGAAAAAAAAAGTGCAGGCAAATGACCATTAAATCCCCGATTTTACTTAATAAAAGTAATCGTAATTAAAGTTAAACTGTTTAATTCTTAATTTTTTCACTGTCCAATAGTTTTTTCCATTTCTGACGTCTAGAATACTCCATATCCGGTTTTCTCTTGGGAATTGGATGGAACATTATTCCTTAGCCATTTAATTAATAATTTGCTTTGAAGATTAAAAAAAAAAAAGAGAACAAATTTTCACGAATCCAAGAAGAGCCACGTGTGGAGGTTTAACTCCTAGATTCTTTTCTGCGTGTGTACACGTATTGTTTTTCTCCAAACTTCTTTTCTTGGTCGTATTTATATTTTTAAAGATATTTAAAACTATAAATAAAAACCAACAAAAACAAATGATTTGAATAAAAAGATAATGTAATTAAAAAAAAAATGTTTAAGAGCAATTTGAGAAAAATTATAGACTATGCCTAGTGGTTTAAGATTTTAATCTCAAATATCAAAATTCCATTAATATAAAAATAACTCTTCTAAAGGTTTGAAATTTGAAGGATAAGTTAATAATAATGGAACTGTTAATTTCTATTTCAGATATGAGCATCATTTTCTGATAATTCTTAAAAATACGTTGTATACATTTAATGTTTGGATGGTGGCTATTGATCGCTGGAATCGCCGTGAGCTTCCAACATTTCTTAAGACTATCGCTTTCTAGGTTCGAATTGAAAATCTTCCTAATATATATCGAAGGGAGCAAATCGTTAAAAGCATCGGTTCCAAACTTGGTCAAGTGGAGGAAGTGGAAATTACAGAGCCAATTGTTCTTCGCCCTGCGGAGGTTTGGGTTAAAGTTTGATTTAATGTTGATGATGAAATCACTTTAACGCGGACAGTCCAAATCAAGAGCACCGAAGCCCCAGTTGAGATAGAGTTTCGCTATGATGTTTTGCAAAAGTTCTGCACCAACTGTGGTAGTCTGAGACATAGCTTCGATGTCTGCCTCCATCCCCCTAACCCAGAAACCGAAAGTTTCCAGCTGATGCAAATTGATCCTGTGACTCCTAATGTGGACTCGTCAGTTGATATACTCCCATCTTCGTCGGATCAGGCTCCAAATCAGCCTCTGGCAGTTCGTACTACTGCGTCCACAAGTTCTATCCAGAATATCCCCTCACTTTCACTTTTAAAGCCTGATTCATCTGATAAAGGTGAGACCTCATGTAGAATGGAAACTGGATCTAAACGGAAGATGCAAGAAACTGAAGACACTCAACCTTCTCTCTCTACTAAGCGACAAACCCGAAACTCATTTGATGCAAAAAGGTTGGTGGTTCCCTTAAAACCACCAAAAGACCATTGAAGCTTTTGCACTGGAATTGCCAAGGTTTAAGGAACGACCTGACAATTCAAGGATATCAGGAAGTCTTCTAAACCTGATATCATGCTCCTAGTAGAAACTAAAAACGGCGATAGTGTAGTAGCTAGCGTAGCAAAAAAACTTAATTATGCCCATTGTATTATAGTATCTCCGACTGTGCTTAGTGGTGGTATGACCATTTTTTGGGATGATAGTGTAGCTATTAAATTTTTGTCTAAACCTGCTCTTAATAGCACGGACATGTATATAATAGATGGTGCTTCTACTTTTTGGTGTTCTTATATATATGGAAATCCTGTTAAAAAGTACTGCAATGCTATGTGGTTTTCTATGATGTCTGATTCAAATGTAGGGTTTTATCAAGATAAACCATGCTTGATGCTTGGAGATTTCAATGATATAATCTCTAGCGACAAAAAGAAAGGCGGCCCTCCTAGGTCAGAGAGTTCTTTCTCTCTTTTTCGTAATATGTTGTATGTTTGTGGTTTACATGATTTAAAAACAACGGGTGGCAAATATACTTGGGCTGGGATCAGACATTCGCATACTGTCAAATCTAAAATTGATCGTGTAGTTGCAAATTGTCACTGGCTTGATATGTACCCTACAACTTATGTGCAACTACTTCCTTGGATTGGTTCGGATCATCGACCTCTTCTCCTTCATAATGAGCTTCATCGACGATGCGGGTACAAATTGTTTCGTTACGATAATCGGTGGCAGTATCATTTAAAGGTCCAGGAGCTAGTAGCCAATACTTGGAATACTCACTGTTCTACAATTCCTCCAGCTGTTTTCAATAAAGCTATAGCCAAGTGTAGAGTGGCATTATCCCGTTGGAAGAGCGTCAACATTCAGAACTCTCAAAAGAACATAATGGAGCTAAGAGATCATCTTCATACTGCTTATGAGGCTTCTCATTTGGATTATAATCTCATTAATCATTTAAAGTCTCAATTGCAGGATCAATACAAACTCGAAGAAGATTACTGGAAGTTGAAAAGTAGAATCATGTGGCTGCAAGTGGGTGATAAAAAGACCAAGTATTTTCATGCAAAAACAAAGCAACGGCGAACTTTTAACAGGATTTTGCATATAAAAAATGAAGCAGGTCAATATTTTTACAATCCTGATGAATTCCAGCTAGCAGGAAATTTAACAAATATTTAATGAATCTGTATACTTCTAATGGCTGTGGTATTGCACAAGAACTCCTATAAGGTATTCCCACAACAGTAACTGATGAAATCAACTATGCACTTACACGTCCTGTCAGTGAAGAAGAAATTCGAAGAGCTGTTTTCTCTATCAATCCAGATAAGTTTCCAGGGCCTGATGGTATAACAGATGGCTTCTATCGGCATCATTGGCAATCGATTAGGCAAGGTGTGTGCTCTTATGTCCAAATTTTCTTTGAAGGGAACTACTTAGATCCAGATATTAATCATACTCATATCTGCTTAGTTCCCAAAGTACATTCAACCACTATGGTTAAAGAGTATAAGCCTATTAGTCTTACTAATGTTGCATACAAAATCATCTCGAAGATTTTAGCGGAGAGACTAAAGTGCTGGTTGCATTTTATTATATTGGATAATCAATCCTCTTTCATCCCTGGTAGACTCATTACGGATAATGTTTTGATTGCTCATGAGCTGTTGCACTCTTTGCATACTAAGAAGCTATCTAAATATTTCATGGCCTTAATAATCGATGTCACCAAAGCTTTTGACCGAGTTGAATAGCCATTTCTAAATATTATTATGTAACAGATGGGTTTCAATGTTCAATGGAGAGGATGGATTAGGAAATGCATCACTATTGCTTCTTACTCGGTACTAATTAATGGAGCTCCCACATATAAAATTCTCCTCACTCGAGGTATACGTCAGGATGATCCTATTTTCCCTTATCTTTATTTGATATGTACTGAAGGTTTATCTCGACTTATTATGAGTCGAATTCAGAGGCAACAGATTCATGGCTATAAGGCATTTAGGAGCGGCCCAATAATTTCACATTTTTATTTGTTAATGGCTCCTTACTCTTCTGCATAGCCTCTGAAGCTAAATGTCGTAAACTGTTGAATATTCTTTTCATTTACGAACAAGGTTCAGGTCAGGAGATTAATTATACTAAATCTGTTATTACCTTTAGTAAAGGTACTCCTCATGATAATCAGCAAATGATTATTCAGCAAACAAGTATTCAAAAGATTGGGGGACTTGGACACAAGCTAACTCTAATATGAATGCAAAAGAGACCTAAAATGAGAGTTTAAGCATGAAAGTGACTTAAAAACATATGATTATGCAAGCCTAAATAATGTAAATACGCAAGCTAACAACTAGCTCATGGTTTTTGGTCTAGCTCCTTTGCAATCCATGCCACCATAGACTAGCTCTTGCAAAGTAATACAGCATGAAAAGTGATATCTCATGTATTTACATCATTTAGGCTTGCATTTAGTGCATGTTTTGGTTCTCTTTTGCATGTTTTCCTTATCTTTTGTCCCATTTTCTTCTCCTTTTAGACTTAGGTTGCATTTAGGATGTAGTTTGCATTTTCTATGCATCAAGGATATTTTTAGGTACTTGTGGAGCTATGAGGAGCATGGAGGAGCTTTGGGAGTGGACCAGGAAGCTAGCTGAGCTGAAATGGAGCAAGAGGAACCAAGGCAGACGATTTCTGCAAGCCCTATCGGTCAAGAGACGAAGGCTATCGGTCAAGGAGTGACCGATGGAGAAGCTATCGATCAGGCTATCGGTCAAAGGAGTGACCGATAGAAGTATGCCGTGTATATTTCGGTCACCCTATCGGTCACCTTCTAGACCGATAGAAATCATATCGATCACCCTATCGGTCACATGTAGACCGATAGGAACCCAGTCCAAAGCTGCTTTTATTTACCATTCTGTCATTACTTTTAGGGCTTCCCTCTTTATGTATAAATACTCATTTTCTGGGGATTTTCGACATGTCATGTCATTCTACTGTTCTTGAGTGATTTCTTTGAGTTTGTAAGACAAATTTCTTGCTTTATTTAATATAAGTTTGTATTTGCCTCTAATATTTTCTTAATCTCTCTTTTAATCATGATTAACATCTTTTTCTCTTGTGATTTGGTGTTAAACATGGCTATTAGTGAGTAGTTTGCTTAGGGTTCTTAGATGTGGTAGATTAGGGGAATTTAGGGATTGATTAAGGTTTGTTTAGTGCTTAATAACATGGATTCCTCTCTATTGATCTGTTCTTAAGCTAGATTTGTCTTGATCACACTTATCTAGATTTAGGCTTTCTCTTATGCCAACCAAGTGTTTGATGAAATGCTGATCTTGTTCAATAGAGGATTTACTGGTCTTGGCTCAAGAGATTGACTGTTTGAGGAGTATTTTGACATGAATAGAGTTGATTATTAATGCTTGTTGAATGTTTTAGCACTAATGAGAGTTAGTTCTTGTTAAAGTGTTTAGCAAAGGGCTGTTTATCAAGAGATTGGACTTAGCTTGCTTGTTTGTGAGCTCTATGTCTAGGAACTAGAATTGCTAGCTTGTTTGCTTGATCAATGATGCTTGAAACAACCTTAGTTAGTCTTTGAATTCCTCAAAATCAATAACCACATCTAGGAACTTGTCTTTTCTTTCTCTGAATTTCGAATTTGTTTAAGTGCTCTGTTTATTTGCTCTGTTCTTGCTTTATATGATCATTGTTGAGTGTTCTCTTTGAGTTTTATTGGTGTTTGATCATCCTAGGTTGTTAGTTTGGTTGCTTTGCAACAAAAACCGTCCTACTTTACTTGACTTAAGGACTTCTGCTTGCAACTCTTTTGTATTCAACAACTCTCCATGGATTGATAAACTCAATACTACAATGACTAGTGTAGGTTGGGGATTGAGATAGGCAAAACACCTACATCTTGGTGCCGTTGCCATTGGGGTTTTGTGTTGGAATCATTAGAGTTTGTAGAGTCTTTAAGATCAAGTTTTCTTTGAATTTGGTTGCTAACTCTGTTTCAACTCTTGGTTTCTCTCTTATAAGTGCATGCATTTAAGGTCTAAAGGCACTGAGAATCTGCAACCTTATCAGAACAACATCTTGCAACTTGAAAGAGAGCTGAGAGCAAGAAGACAGAGAGAAAGATCACAGCACTGTGAGAGACTTGGGATGAACAATCAGGAACCTGCTATGGATGACATCAGATTCAGGGTCCTCAAGGAGCTGCTGGCGCTCAGGGTATACAAGGTCAGCAAGGTGTTCAGGGCTTGCAAGGTGAGCAGAGACCAAGGGGCACAGCACAAGCTCCAAGAGCAGCAAGCCCATAGGTGCTGGTGATGCACCAAATGCATATAATAACAGAACTGGTATCATTCCACCAGCAGTGCAAAACAACAACTTTGAAATCAAGTCTGGATTGATTTCAATGGTTTAGGACAGTAAGTTCCATGGTTTGCCACTTGAAGACCCTCTAGATCACTTGGATAATTTTGACAGACTTTGCTCCCTTACAAAGATAAATGAAGTAAGTGAAGATGGATTCAAGCTGAGGTTGTTTCCTTTCTCTCTTGGAGACAAAGCACACCAGTGGGAGAAGAACTTACCCCAAGGAAGCATCACTAATTGGGATGAGTGCAAGAGAACCTTCTTAGCAAAGTTCTTCTCTACGAATGAGATTTCAGGGTTTGCACAGAGGAACAATGAAAGCTTTGGTGAAGCTTGGGAAAGATTCAAGGGCTACACACTGCAATGCCCTCACCATGGCTTCTCACAAGCTTCTCTGCTCTCTACTCTCTACAGAGGAGCTTCGCCAAATATCAGAATGCTTCTGGACACTGCATCAAATGGAAACTTCTTGTCAAAAGATGTCGATGGGGGATTGGAGCTTGTTGAGAATCTAGCTCAGTCTGATGGAAATTATAATGAAGAATTTGATAGAGCTCCAAGAAGTGCTAAAGATGAACTGGAGTCTAGCAGGAAAAAGATCAAGGCCTTACATGAGAAGCTGGATCTGCTGCTAAGGGAGAAGAAGGAAGTTCACTTTGTTGGTGACATGGTTCAGCTTGATGATCAAGAGACATGCCAAGTGGAAGAGATGAACTACTTGGGTAATCAAGGTGGATACAATGGATATGAGAATTTCAGACCCAATCCCAACTTGTCATACAGAAGTAACAATGTTGCAAATCCACATGATTAAGTATACCCACCTCAACAACAACAGCAAGCTGCTCCAAGACCTTTTGTTCCCTACAACAATCAATGTTTTTAACAGAGGAACAACAACTTCCAGCCAAGAGCGCCCTATAATCCTCCAGGATTCAGTGGACAAGCTCCAGCACAAGCTTCTTCCAGCTCACAAGATACTGAACTCAATACCATGATGCAGCAAATGATCAACAATCAGGTCAACACAACCTTGAAGAGGAACAAGAAATTTGCTGAAATTTACAACAAAATTGATTCGGTTCATGTGGAGTTGACCAACAAATTTGATGGGTTAGCAGCAAGAGTAAAAAATCTGGAGAACAACAAAGGAGTGGCAACAGCACCACGCCCTTAAGGCACTCTTCCAGGAAAATGTGAGAACAATTCAAAGGAGTACTGCCAATCTCTTGATTTTTCAGTTGCTTTTACTCCTCTTGAAGAAGAAGCTATCATTGAAGACTTCCTCTCTCTATTCAATGAGGACATTGACATTCAGAGTGGGGGGCGGGGGGGGGGGGGGGGGGGGGGGGGGGGGGGGGGGGGGGGGGGGGGGGGAGCTTACTGAAGCTTATGCCACTAAGGAGAACTCTCTTGAAGAAGGAGCAAACAAGGAAGAAGATAAGTGGTGGGCGCCACATGAAGTTGTTGATGCTACAATGGAAGAATTTGTTGAAGTCTCTGATGTTAAGAAGAAAACTCAAGCTGCTGT